ACTAAATTTTTCGACAAATTAGAGAAGGAAATCCTCCAGAGAGCCGAGAAAAATTGCGAAATTTGGAAAAATTCTAGTAATTTCGTGTTTTTCTCGGTTTAGCATTTATCCGCTGTTCTTCCTCTTTCTCCTTTCCTAGATCGCACTTTAATTCAAATTCCGAACTTGGCTTTTCCCAATGGCTGACCCTGGTAAAGATCCTGGTTGGGGCTCAGCGCTGAACATTACATGGTATGTGTGGCTTCGCACCAAAGAAGCAGCGTAGTGCAGCGCCGCAACTCTTAATAATCACGCTTTGCCAGCCCTCTGTGCCAAGTTCCCTGTTCCTTGTATGAACCCATCTCCCTCATGAAAGTTCCTTCATTTCCCTTTTTTAACTTTAGTATTTCCCTATTACTTTTTCCTGTTCTCGACCCTTTTTTGGGTAGTTGTGTCCCAATTTTTGATGCAATTCCATATGCTTCCATATTTTTTCTTTCTCTCTTTATTTCTTCATTTTGCTTGACGGTCTTCTTCTGACTAATTAACCTGGCAAGATTTCTTGTGGCCGAACAAAAGCTTGACGCCAATATCACTGGTCCTCCCGCTTTCGTCTCATGAAGGGACGTCAAAAGAGAAGTACTAATCTAATCGTCCACCTCCTTGGAAGGAGTTCATTCTTCCAATCACTTCTGATCCAATTACTTCCAATCACTTTTGTTTAAGTTGGCGATGATGATTTGACGATGATGTCTTTTGGACCCTCCGGACTTATTTTTCCCACATTTATTCACTTATTTATCCTGTACATAGTGGATACATGCAGGAGTAGGATAGAGCAGTAGCCGTTAACCCATTGAGACCTAGGAACGTTATGTATCTCGGTCTCCTTTCGCCTTCTTTCTCACCAGTACCAAATATCATCTGAATAGTAAATTTATTGATTTTTGAGTCTGAAAAGTATAGTCACTTTGTAGGCGTGGAAAACGGGGAATAAATGGAAGAAACATGTGGCCGCTGAATGCACCATATGCATCAGTGGGCCAGTAGGTTTTTAATGCCAACACCACATTTGAGAACATGAAATCAGATATATTCTTATGAAATGGGTTTGAAAATAGCTGCCTAAAACAACAGGGTACAAGGGGACGTTGTTGGGTGTAACACGATTACACTTTGTTTCCCACGACCAGATATGTCGCAGTTGCGTACTCACGTACTCACATGGCGGGGCTGCGAAAATGCAATATCTACGTGATTTTTGATGCTCTTGACTTGATCCAATGCCAATTTGTTGCTATTTCTGCAATTGCGACATCTTTTGTCACGTAAAACGCGATGTGCGCATTAAATTACGTGGTTGAACGCCTTATGTTTTGCACTATCAATCTATTCATCCACTTGGATAGCAATGGTGTAAGGAGCCCCCCTTGATTGCGTGAATGATTCTCAAATTAGGTTCTACAAAAGGCGGGAGAATTTTTTATTAGTTCTCACCGTCAAAGGCACAACGCTAAGTACATCCTTCAAGTTTAGGATACTTGCCAAATATTATACAAAAATCGACTAAATTAAGGAGGGCGCAGTATTTATCATTACATCTTTGGGAATCGCCTCTTATTCGACTTCCATGCGAAATCATGATGGCATTTGAGTGCGTATTTGGCCTTCACTGTTTCATATGTATGCCATACATTGACGTTTAATAGGCCATATACACGTGAAATGCGATCTCACGAGTCTGGGTTTATTCTCCTATAGCTCCAGTTGAGAGATCCCGAAGATCCGTAGAGATGGAGAGCTTTGTTGGCTTGGAGCGTAAGTGGTCATAGACTTTTAGTGGGCCATTTATGTAGTAAGGGCGTCTAGGTGTAATTGGGAAGGAAAGGGTCGAGCATTCTGCGCCGAATAATTACCTTCAGGATGCGCCAGGCGTTTTGCTTTGATCTAGAATCGTAGTGCCATCTTGAGTATTTGAGTATTATCTTGAGTTGAGCGATTTGAGCAACACATGCAATGGCTTGCGAAAATTAGTAGATGTATAAGTCATTTTCTGGTACCAATTAATCTATACCCAAGAAATGGTACGCTTGATTGGTCTGAAGGACCTCGATCCGTGCTTGCACTCCCAGACCGTGCCTGTGGTAAGCGTCGACACTTACCACTATAGTACCTCTGCCTTTTATGTAGGTTGTTTCGAGGTTGATGTCCAAGTCATTCTACCCTCTCACATGAAAGTGAAAGATACTTTTCAAAGCACATTTTCTTCTCTGCAGATTCGAAGACACCAAAGGGAGCTTTGGCTTACTCCGTTGTACAGTTCTAGCCTTCATGATTAAAGGAATCTTCCACGGAAAGACTGCTTATCCTTTCCTTGTGTACAGGTGTTGGGCATGGTCATTGAAGACCATATGCAAAGTTCAGAGCGAAAATGATGAAACCCCAAGAGAAACAGCCCTTGGAAAGACCCATCTGTGGGACCGGATTGGACCAGTAGGCGGGACCGGAAGTGCTTCTGTGACGAAGTGCGTGGCAGGTGCGGATCCACGTGTCAGTTTATGGGAAGGGCCCAACATGAATCCAGTTCACGTTCACGCTTTTGACACGTTTGCACGTGTTGACTCCACGCCGCTAACAGTTGTGGAAGTTTTACAGCGGGAATTCAAAATTTTCATAGTCGAACTGGTTATCATTATTATCAAAACCATCGCCTATGTTCCGTTCTTTTTGCTATCTTCATGAAGCAAGGGGCCTAAGGTATCGTTTTTTGTAGGAATGGAGGCGATGTTTTTCCGTGGAAGATTCCTTTAAGTCTCTACTTGCCAATATTTTCTGCTCGAAGTACGCTAAACCATCTATGTGTAAAAAGTAGTATGGTAGCTGAAAATGCTGATGGCGAAAGACTCAAAAACATCTTACAAGGAGCTTGCAAAAGTTTTGCATAATTTTTCAAAAGATAATGACCTTTTTGGTAAGATTTCTGGCGCATAGCGACTTTGTTAAGCCAACAATGACGTAAACGAGTTTTACAGTAAGCTTTGTACGCTATATTAGTCTCTGATCTCTGCCACTTTTTTGATAGTGTTTCCTAGCAGTACGTTCTTTTTGCATGTAATTTCATTTGTAGGCTGTGCTTCCTTTGAAATTTTGAGTCCGTTTGATCAGTGCTCGTTCCAGTTTTGCTGCTCGAACATACCTATTTTCATTTATTCCACCATTCAAGTCATTCACTAGCATTCACAACCATTCATTTTATTGTCATAACCTGCCCTAGAACCTCTTAAAGGCATGCCCCATGGATCAAGTGGGGTTCTTGCACTCGAAAATGAATGTACTGGTGCGACATGGGCTAGTAGTATAGAAAAAGAATTCGTCGAAAACGCTTAGGCTAAAGGCTCACTCACCTTCGTAATCGGCTGTGCTAAGGGCGATGAGAGATGGCTAAGCCATAGCGCGAAGGAGGGGATGAGGCGAGAGAGCGTAACAGATAAGCAGGCACCAGATACCAGCCTGATGAAAAATTGCAGCTGCAGCAGCAGCTTTTCCGCGAGGCTCTATCGCCCTTATTGGGTGGTTTCCGTGCACGGGAATGCCATGTCTGTCATTGTCCTCTAAGGGGCGTCTATGGCACAGGACGAAAGGAGTGGTTCACGCGACTTTTGGAGGTGGCCTTAAGATGCCCGAAGTTAGTACAATAGGTATATTTTTATCTCCATGTCGAAGTGGTAGTCTATCGGAGGCGATGTGCAGATAGAGGGTGAGGGAATTTTTGGGAACGAACTGTGCGAGTGAACGTATCAAAGGTGGAATGAAAGCGTGGTTCCCATCTATTGAGAAAAGAAGCAGTATGGGCGCCTGTCAGCTAGAGCTTTTACTATATTTTATCTAGCTCTGTCTTTTCGATATTTTTCTCCCAGACATTTTTGATGACTCGGTAGTTGATGACGTGTATACGAAGTTATACGATACTGTCCCTGCTTAGATGGTGCAGCCGTGGTGGTGAATGGCACGTGATGTGGACGAGCGCGTGCGCTGCTCGCCTTCTCGAAAAGCTTCAAGAAGGTACGGCGTGCGCGCACTGCGGCTCCGCGACGTCGCCGACGGCGACGTGCAAAATTCAAGCGTTCGAAATCATGCCCCGAGTTACGGGACATAGCCAAGGCGGTTCCGACACGACAACGTAGCATCTCAGTACAGTATGACGCAGCCCAAGGTACCAGCAAGCAACGGCATCAGCCGAAGCCCAAGGTGCTGCTCACGGACGTCTATAGGAATCGTCGATTTCTGGTAAGTAGTTTCTTATTGAGTATTCCGATCCCTACTATTATTCATTTCAGTGGAATGGATATGATATTGTTAGGGAATTAGGGTTTCTTATTGCGAGTATTACTGTCGATTGATCTATGCTGAGCAATGGGCCTCATGATAAAAGGTTCAATATATTGAAAATCACTGGAATTTATTGTGAAAAGTCGTGGCTGTTCAGAATAGCACTAGGCTTTGAAAAATATTGTTATAGTAAAATAGTTGGAGTAAAGAGACATTTGAAAACATTAGTGATAATCATAATCACGATAGTAAAATCGATCAATCAATCTTACCATTAAATTTGATCAATTTTTCACTTCGTCTTAACTTTTTGGTCCTATTTGGTTCACTTTGCTTTGGCTTCAGGATCGGATTTCATTACGATTTCGCTCAATAAGAAAAGCATGAAAATAAGAAAAGAAAGAAGAAATGAAAAAAGATCACTATAAACTATGGAAATTATTGTGAGCTAGGGTCGTATTTGTTTGACAATATAAATTGAAACCTCGTTGCAAAATCAGTTTCTATTAATAATTACGAAAGCGAGAGGTGCGGGTTCTAGTCCCGCCTGGGGCGAAAGTTTTGTTCACAACCCAGCATTCTTGTGAAACATTCGCAAGGCGAACTGCGGCCAAAAACAGCAGTTAACAAACAAAAACAAGTCAAATATCATAATTTAGGGATGAAAAGAAGAAAAGGAATTATTCGCATCCAATTTTGTAAAAGAAGTTGAAGCTGGAATTATCGCACACTGTAGAGAAAACTTGGAAAAATCATGGAATCGGCGATAAACTAAAGAGGTGTTCATTGTGGCAATTGATTTGTTTTAGAAAAATCCATTTTGTTGGATTTTTCCATTTTTCCCTTCTCCAGGATTTTTCATACTTTCCTTATTTTCAAAATGTTCTAGTCGACGGTACTCGATGGGAACGGGTCGGCAGCTGCCAACGCGTTCTACAAAAGCATCGATGCGGCCCCGAATATGAATGTGGCCAGAACGAAGACGAGTATTCCACTCGTCTCGGAACTTGTGAGTTATAGATCTATTATGAAACGATGTAGAAATTGGTTTTTTTTCTGAGTTTTTTTTTTCTCACAAGCGTGATTCCATAAGGAGAAACAGCACATGATTTGTTTGTATGTGACAAGTGAGTTGTAGAAGAAGTTCGTGCACTTTTATTTGGGTGTCAATTCGTTTTTTAGAAGTGAATTAACATAGATCTTGCACTTATATGGCGAAACTTTCTGCAAAGGATAGGAGTTGCACCTGCAACGGTGCTATCCGGGAATCAAGCCTGTCCACAGCGCTATCAGAGATCCATGCGTCTCTACATAGCTTTCAGTGGGATATCGGTAAACTGTGGTCACTCCAATATTCATTTTCTGTCAATGCATGGAGGGGTTTGCTCCTGGTTCAAGTGATGTGAGAATAGGAAAACGCGCTTTTCACGCCTATCTGTCCACAATTCGAGAATGGCGGAGATTTTTCCTGAAAATTTTCCGTCACGGTAAATTGGCTGTAATTCGAGCCCCCCTATAACTGGTTTGATCCCGGAAAACAAGCATATAATCTTTGTTCTAGGCGATAGTGAACAGCCTGCTCTAGGTGCCGGCGCCCAAGGTATCTCACCCATTCTTTGACCGCGACCTTTTTTGAAAACTGCCCGTTCGAACCAGAACGGTACAAGACGACTGCGAAGTGTCAGTCATCGGTGGCTGACATTGTCCGAAGTGAACATCTTTGGTGTCAGCCAGCGGTGAGTTGAACATTGTCGCGAATGAATTTCAATAGCCATCCAAATTGCCAATCGGCATCGTATGCTATGTGATAGAAGAGTAATAGGGGTATATGAGCACGGTTTTCCAAATCAGTCCACAGTAAGTAAAGTGAGAACGGCCGAGGAACTTTGTCTGGAAGAGAATTGCACGAGCTTTTTCTTCAACTAAACAATGAGCATTTTCCGTTCACTATGCAGGGCGTTTCAACGTCGAGTGCTGCTTGACGGTAAGAGGGAATTGGGGACGTACTTTGCTTTTGGATTCAAAAGGAATTATTTGATTTTGCTGTAGAAGAAATGGATAATGCGCCGCAATCCAAAAAGCGATATTGGATCGTTGCGGATAGATAGCCAGAAAAACCAATCATAGGTGTAGGTTGAGGGGGGGGGGAGAGTGGAGGCAAAGGCGGGTGTTTTTTTCACTGGAAAGATGTGAACATTTTATTGGGATACTCCTTCTCGCTCACGAATTTTTGTGGAGTGTATAGGACTTTTAGCATTAGCGTTTGCCTAAACCTTGATCATGGGTCGCTATCACCAGGAGACAGACCGATATCACAATTTGAAAATAGGCGTCCTTGTTGTTGTTAGACATAAATCAGTGTAAATTATGGCACTAGAGCTAGAGAATTTTATTTTGTCTTGATAGTACAGCCTCGCGCAGGTAAACCATAAGAGATGTATGTTGTTTTTTAGATTAGTGTTAGTATACAGGATATTAGGGTTTTTCAGGTGTGTTTGAAGTTAAGAAATCGTCTCATCAATTCCATACACGGTTAAAGTGCCTCTGAAACACTTGTCCTTTTGGAACTAGAGTCAGTGTTGAATCAGAATCCTCTCCTTGATTACTCCTGGTTTCTTACATTATCTATGAATCTGAAAATCATCTACACGACGATATCGTGGAATTTTGTTTTTTCTGATCAAAGAACTGAGCGGATAGTGGGAACATTTTTTTCCACTATCGTCAAGGTCTCTTGGTATATCTAGGTATCAAAGATGAAGGTATTTACTAAAAGTTGTAATGAAGGACACGGTAACGATTGGTGCGCTCATCAGCATCAATCAATACCGTATCCTTGATCATGTCCAAATTTCCGATTCACTACTCTCACAAAGGTAAAACGGGACCCTTTGCGGGTGATCGCCAGCCATATGAGCATGCATTTTTTTTTCGAAATTTCCTTAGTTTATCTACAATAAAATATTCTTGCTGTGTAGATTTAAATTGATTACGTGCATTTTGTTGTTTGCCTGGGTGGGTTTAGTACTGCTGGCAACTCAACCTGCAGACTGCTAAGTGGGCACCGACTTTTAGGATATGAATTATTATTGGCTGTGAACTTGTCTTTGAGTAATTCGGCAGCATGGTAAAAGTTTTTTGTTGAGCAGTAAATAGTGAGAATATGCTTTTAAAGAGTCTATGCTAACATTAACCCGCATGAACTAACAAGCTTTTTTACGTTTTTTTTTTTGACAGCAGCTAACTAACCTTAGATGCTTTGCTTTGTTTTTGGTTCTTGGTTTGTATTACTCGAATTATTGATATGCTTTAGACGATGGCCACAAAGAGAGCACAGGCCGGACTTGCAAACGCGCCAAGTCGACATTTGGAGATGAGGAATTGGTGAGCTTTGTTAGGAACCTTTAGACGAGCCCTGAGCCGAATTAATTTCACGAGTGGCGTTCTATTTTGGTGGTCGACGACGTCGCTTCTTAGCCTCTCTAGAATTTATTTCCTGAAACAATGGGAATTTTGGGCTGGGGTGAAAGCAATCGTAGCGTTGGTTTGCACATTTTTGGTTGATGCTGAGAAAAATGATTACACCGTTAAGAGCAGTTTTTGCTTTACCTTGTTGGTAGGTTGTGGCTCGAAAGACTGCTGGCCGTGTTGTGAAAGGTCAGCAATCGGTTTGATTTTCCATCGACTCAGCTTGGACATCGACGTGCAAGAGCAGGGTGAATAACGGTCGAGGAAATCCTCGACCATAGCTCTCTACCATGCGAGAGTAGTGCCGAGAGTGAACATCCGCGCGGAGGCACAGACGGCACGGCATGGCGAGTGTGAATGTCCGCGCGAGAGATCGTCTCTGATCGGGCAGAATCCTCGACGTGCCGTTGAGGAATCCTCAAGCGATATTCACCCTGGTGTGAGAGTGCACGTGTAGCCACCGCATTCACATTATGGATAAGGAGTTTCCCTCGCACGCGTGGTGGAGCAGCTTCCGCTTAATTGATGGCTTCTAATAGAATCCGAATATCGGTGATCGGTATTTGCCGGAATGGAAATATGTGAGAATTTTCGAGGTGGGCCTGAACATAAGTGGAGAAGTGGGATTAGGGTCAACCGTAGGTTGGCAAAGGTTTGTTCAATTGGAAGGACCCATCCCTCTGATGATTGTCGCTGTCGATAATGTGTCGAACGGCCACCAATCGACATATTCAAACTACGTCCCTAGAAGTCTGAAAGTGTGCCCAAGGGGGGAGGGGTGGCTACATATACATGTTGCTTCTGCACCAGCTTTTTCCCACAAATTTCCCTTTGTTTCAAGACGACTCCTCCCTTCGAATACGATACCTCCTCTTACCGCCACCATCACGACCCGTTTTGAAAACGTCAAATACGATAAATTCCCAAAAATTAAAACATTCGATTCCCTTCAATGGCACCTCGGTGATAAATTATCGACAGACCCGTTACCCTGGTGAGACTCACTCAACAGTGAATGAATCGATGATGAAATCATATCTTGGATGGCCTGGAAAGTAGGAAAAATCTGGGAAGGTACATAGCATCTTAACGGATGGAAGGAAGCGCAGCTGCTCACGTGTAATCAGTAGCCCATCCGGAGCCTGGATCTTACGAAAATACAGTCAAACTGGTATGTATGAATGGTCATGAAAACAAGGCTTGTACAGGGGTCACTCAAAATTATTAGATAGTTGGATGATACTTGGAACCAGGGTCAATCGTCCGTTCGCACCATTCTCAGGAGGAGGTCGCGTTTGTGATTCTGGAGAGGGTCGCATTCGGGATTGAGTGATGTGAAGTACCTCTGGGTAAAATGAGAACTGGGTGGCGGAAGGGTCACATATGAAGGGTTTTGTGATGTTTTTGAGGAAAAGTATAGGAACGAAGTGTCAAACGGAAAAAAGTTAGTGATTGGGGCCATAAACGTGGCCAGAGTTGATTGTTTCGCGGGTGTGTCGACTGGTCTCCAAATGAAATGCTGTATAAACAGCCATGATGGAAGGTGGTAGGAAGGCGTGGTGTTTTACTGGAGAAGGCTCTCAAGACTGAAGGTGGTGGTAAGGAAATCGTATCGAGGCTGAGAGTCCACTGAAGGTGGGGGGGGGGGGACGGGAGGGAGTCGCAACATTTTTGAAATAGTGCGAACGATGGTTGACCCTGCTTTGAACTCTCAACTCTAGCTCCCGAGATAACTCCTTTAAACCGCCGATTTTGAGAGTGAAGGCCGCTATACAGTTGTTAGCTGGAAGATCCGTTTGGCGTTCAAGGGATCAAGTTTAGCCTTTAAAGCATAGCAGTCTGGCTGGTCTGGGCTCTGTTGTAATGGTGAATTCCCCAACGAGTAAAGGGGATGGTAATGATCGGGAAATCCCATGCCAATTCGTGCCGAAAGGTGGAGGTGCTGCTGTGTTGTACATGATTTTCAGAGGCGCTTCGTAGCAACTTTTTCTTATTTAGAAACAACACGTCTATCGAAAATGTTTGCAAGCTCTGATTTATCCGATCAGTTGCACGACCCCACATAATTTCCAAACGACGAATTTTCAAACGCCTACTTGGTGTTACGAATGCGAAGGATTGCTTTGGGGACTGGCCTAGACAAGGTATGTTTGCTATATTCGCTCTTAGTAATCACTTTTGATAAAGTCAGTATTGCTATTATAGGGCTACGTTGTACCGAATGTGGTGTGAAAGTCCATGAGAAATGTCGTGAACTGCTCAGCGCTGATTGTTTGCAAAGTGAGTTCCTAATTAGTTCACTTCAAATTGTTTTCCCTCCGAGACTCCTACAACTCTAAAGAACCTACATATTTGGTTTATCTAATTTTATGAAGACTTGATTAAATTGTTTTTCTTTCTAAGTAAATCTCAATTATTTAACCTCCTCTCTTTTATTTATTGTATTTTCCTAAATATTTTTATCGTTCACCTTTGACTACCTTTAGTTCATTGATTTTGTCTTGAACTGGTCTCCAGGCTGCAAAGGATTTTTTGGTCTCAAGTTCATCTCATGCGAAGTCTTAAAAAAGTTAAAAGAAATCAATTTTTCTCTTCATTTTCAACAAACAAACTTCAATTTGTGTACTTCGTGTAGGCTATTATGAATTATGCTAGCGTGGAATTTAAGTTTCATTAAACAGCATAAAAGAATTTGTGAGTAATATACCGAAATGACGCTATAATATTCAGTCCATATATACTTCTAAATTGCTTCTTAAAGATTATCATATTTGTTTCACTCGCTTAAGTCCGCCTTGGTGAAGTGCTTTGAAGTGGCGAATCGCGAACTTTATAATGCAGATTATGATACAGTACCAAATTGGTTTTACATTTTGCTTTCTAAACAGCTTTAATTTATATTGAACAAGTTTCCTTTATGAAAAATAATATGTGTTTTGCTAGGAGCAGCGGAAGAGCTCAAGCATGGTCGAGTTGCGAGCGAATACAATCGCTAGTGGCGGTGATTCGTGACCGGATGAAAATTCAGGAGAAGAACAAACCAGAGATTTTCGAGACAATACGGTATGCTATATAACTTCATATGTAATTATGTGATGGACAAAAAAGAGTGTAGAAGATTTTTTTCATTCAGAAATACATTTAATGTCGATGAACGGGTACAACAGGAGACGTTGAAACAGATCAAGACGAGCATACTCGAGGGGAGCAGTAAATGGAGTGCGAAGATTACCTTAACTGGTAGGCAATTTTTGAGTATTTGGAGATCTAACACTTTTCGAATGAGTCTCTGGTATGTATTGATAGCTCAATTATTTCAGCGTCGCTATATCAATACCTCGAACTACGATAAGGTATTTCCTCACGTGGAATTGTGGATGTGTTTGTTGGAATCATGCGTTTACTCACCAGAAAAGGGGTATTCAAAACGATTACTTTTTTTTCAAATAATCCGCTGCTCTTTTTTCTTCGAATATTCTCAGCCAAATATTCTTTTATTCTATGCTTACGTAGAAACGAAAGAATTTTCGGATGCTCGAATTTTCTTTGGCCAGATTCGACCATATGTGTTGTGTAAGCCTGAAGGCGCGCCCAACCATTTGCCGGCTTTTTTTTAGTCAGCTAGCTAATATTATCTAAATGTTGTTGAAGGATTAAAAAGTAAATATTAGAAAGTAAGTATAAATATTGTTTTCAAAATTTCCTTCTTATAGTTATCTGTGCTCAAGGATTAATCGCTAAAGACAAGACCGGTAAAAGCGATCCGTACGTTACTGCACAGGTAATTGGTGACTTTGTCCACTTCACTTTTTAGACTACTTATGCCATTTTTTACCGCTCGATCAATACCATGTTGAATTTTGCTTCCAGGTCGGCAAGGTGAAAAGGCGAACACGAACAATTCATCAAGAACTGAATCCTGTATGGAATGAGAAGTTTTTCTTGTAAGTTTTTGTTGTTTACTTTTAAAAATTTATTTATTTGGTTCGTAATTAGTTTTCAATAGGTAAGGGAAAGGCGTTGACAGCCGCGGTAAGGAGGTGTTCAGTCCCAAGGATGTAATGAACAAGCGCGGTACCTCAGAACTACAAGTGTGGGTTCGATTTTCATCCGAGGCCAAACGATAGCGGAAATCACATTCCTATATCCATTTGATCGTTGGTAATTGATAATAATTTCTGACTATAATTCATTTTTTATTTATTTCGTGCGTACGATTGACGCGCCTGAACTAAAACACGCAATATCCAAAACAATAGGTTGGCCAAGAGGATGGGGACCCAGTCATTACTAAGAAGCTCTGCAAACCACAGGACGGTGAAGGATTCTGAACACCTCTTCCCTTATACTACTGTGCAATAGGATTAGAAGGGTGAAGAAAACCATAGACAAGATTTCCTGGATGATAAACCTTCAACTGGAGTGAGCCGCGAGTGCCGAACGATCGATTATTTGTCAGAATTTCTGTGTTACAGAAATAAAATAATAAATAGTGATCCAAAAAATAAGTTTTTAGCGAGTGCCATAATTCCACGGATCGTATCAAAGTTCGTGTGTGGGACGAGGACAACGACCTGAAATCGAAACTGCGACAAAAGTTGACGAGAGAAAGCGACGATTTCCTTGGCCAGACCGTTATCGAGGTTCGAACCCTCTCGGGTGAAATGGACGTTTGGTATAATCTGGGTGAGTCGGTTTCATGCAGTTTTAAATTATTTATAGATTTTTAATTATATCGATGGTATCATATGTTTACAATGGACCGCTTTGAACTTTCAAGCTTGAAATCTTCCAAATCCTGCGATAAGCTGTGTTCACAAACAGAGCAAGTATAGAAACAAGATGGAATTTGTTTAAGAATCAGTTTGTATGGAATATTGTATAGGGTGATGGTTAGAAGGTGAAATGCTGATTTGTGATCTGTAGGAGCAGATCTCTGGTAGAAGTGACCAGTGATGTCCGTTTTACGATTGATCTTCGAACGTTCGGTCTAGCCAGTGAAATGCCATGGTTCCGCTTCACTGGGTGCGGCGAAAGAGTAGCCGATTATACGGATACGTGACCAAATATAGCGGGATTTGTGACGCGCATCTCCATAAGCTTACGAAGAAAAATCTCCTGAAAGAAAAACATCTGAAAATGGTGCTGTCTCTAGGAAGAAATCGTTGAATGAAAAGAGACGAGAGATGAATGCTGCGTTACTTCATCAAGAAACGAGTGAGAAGGAGGAAAATGAAGTCATTCTCCAAAGCAGCACAAGTTTCGAAGTCTTTTTCATACCCTCCTAAAAGCTGGACTTTTGACTACTCGCGGCCAGTATTTCTCTTTTTGTTCGCAACCATTGAGGGCGTGATTCATGAGGGGCGTGGTTTGCGAGATAGAATGGGCGTTTTGAGTTCTCATCTCTTCAAAGTTGAAAAAAATTCCGGTTTGTGGAATATATGGAAGTCTGCCTTTAATTTGTTGCGCTCCTGGATATGCTTCATTTATGGTGGAATCAGTGTCATGGCAACTAGAGGAATGAAAATTTAACTAGAGGAATGCAGAATTGCTTGTCTGCAAGCCGAATGACCGCAGTGAACTGAAAATTCTTAACATCTTATCAATAAGTTTCAAAGTCCCATTGTATATCAGCTTTTCATGAAACTCTTTGGAAATGAATAAAAATTCCTCATTTCCAGAAAAGCGTACGGATAAATCGGCTGTGTCGGGTGCGATTCGATTGCATATATCTGTTGAAATCAAAGGAGAAGAGAAACTTGCTTCGTATCATGTGCAGTACACATGCTTACACGAACATCTCTTTTCCAGGTACTTTTGTCGCATGCACCTTAACTTATCAGACTAATAAGCTCTTTATTCATACGTGTTGTAACCGCTTAAAAGTGTGACATCCTGACTCAAGGGCACTGAGCAGGTCAAGCGAGGCGTTGAGGAAAATTTGGAAATACGACCCCCCCCCACCACCCTCCGCCGGAGGCCGAAGTCCATGAAACAACCCTCTTCAAAAGCCGAACTATGAAAAGGTTGAAAAGCTTGTTTAATTCTCCCCCAAAACTGCTCATAAAATGCCTGCTACCCCACCGCCCACAAAAAAATTCGTTTAAGAAGTACAAAAGTGAAAAAGTCAAAGAATAATCATTATTGATGAGTCCTACCAAACGAGCAAACGAGAAACAGACCAGAAAACGACAAACTAGCCACTAAAAATGGCATACTATGACAACATCTTTATTTATTTCCTCCACAAGACTTACCAAATTCTAGTACTACACAGATTGTGGTTCTCAATTTGCACGTAGCCCTTCAGTTGAAAGAAGCTTTTTAACCGCCTTCGCCAGCTGTGTGTTGACTGGACTTTGGCGTTGACCGTGGAGCAGCTTATTTACTATTGAAATTTGAACAAATATTCAAATGATTATAACTTTCTTCAAATATGACGAATTTTCAATCTGAAAGCAGATTTGGAAGTTTTGTGAAGAGCTTTTTCTAATCAGTACTGAAATTACAGGAAGTTATAAGAAATAACAAATTTAGATCAAATAACGAGGAAAATTCGAGACGAGCACGAGTTTTTACACTTTCCGGAGCAATAACTTGCTTCATTTCCGTCAAATTCAAAAAGTTGATACGTCATACAAAACTAGAAGATTTTCTCTATCAAACGGTTGCTAAAGCAGCTTTATACGTCCAGTATTCAAAAAATGGCCACGTTGAGGATTTTTGCAAAATTAACGAGGAAAATTTGTGATGAGTGCGAGTTTTTTTACTTCCTAAAGCCATAACTCCGTTCAAACTCATCCAATCCAAAAGTAAATACGCCATCATAAACTAGAAGATTTGCTCTATCAAATGCTTACTAGAACTGCTCCAAACGTCCAGTATTAAAAAAACGGCTACGTTGAGGATTTTCGCACGAGTACCGCCGAAAGGTACTTTTTCGCTACATTGGCACTATTTCAACGGCTGTATATCCTTTTAAGGGCGATTATGTACTAAAGTAAGAGCAGATTTGAAATCACTGCTTTTCTCTTTCTAAGAAAAGTGATTGATTAGCGTTTCTCAACTTTAAAGGTTACATGTTTATAAATTTAACCCTGAAGAGTCCGTTAACGCAATGTTGAATGGTGTACACCTCCCTGTAAATGCGCACGGACACTTTCAGAATTCTCTCGATTGTTCCTGAATTGAGGTTGTTTGTCCAAGGAGCCGTAGTTGAAGCGCGCGCAACAACTAGACCCTTTCTCGGATGCGCCGTGTACCTCACATCCCTTCAGATTCGGGGTCTTACTTGAAAGATGAAATATCTCTTGGAAAGCGTGCGAAATTCAGATTCTTTAACTTGTGTGGTGATAAAACACTGAAGTAACTAAGAATTACCGGACGCCTCAGAATCACGAAAATTTTGTGTGGGTGAAATATCATTTTCATTGGAAATCCTCTGGCCTGGCATCGACTCATCCTTGATATTTGTCTTCCGACGGTGATGATCCCACTGCATCAAAATGGCTCGATCTCTTCCACCCAGCGGGCCAATACGACCCCCCCCCCTGCGACGTGTCGAGGATTCCTCAACGCACGCTTGACCCTGCCTGGAGCATTGATGGCTCGATGCGCTTTTGAACGGCGTCATCGGAAGTGGTTGTTGAACAGGACCACTCAGATGCGCTGACGATGTCTGGACCATTGGTCAAACGCCTTTCCCGCCAACGCACGCTCGACTAACGTCCAGCAAACTGCTCCAAACCCTCACTATGCGTGCTCCTTCGAAGTGCAGAACAGAAAATAAATAGGTGGATTGTGAGAAAAAAAAAATCACAAACGTGCTGTTTAGGGCTTCACAAGAATGCTGGTTGAAAAAATTTCGGCGCAAGGGACTGAGACACCATCTAGCTTTTCTTCTATAAGCAAAGGTGCTTGGTTCTAGTCCCGCTGGGGCTAATTTTTTGTTCACAGTAACCCAAGATTCTTGTGAAACTTGATCAGGCGAACAAGCAAGACAGCAGTCAAACAAACATACAAGGCTATTTTAACCTCTTTGTGTGGCTAAGCCAACGCGGTGGTGTTGCGATACTGCTTTGTACTCGTCATAGCCAAACGGGCCCTTTAATTGTTCCTACTAATAGAGTATCCGACGACTGCCCGAGTCCTCTTTGGGTGTGCCGCGCATTCCCGTTCGATTACAGAATTCGCATGGCCCTCCAGAACGCGAGAGGTTTTATATCATAACGTTCGAGTATGCCACCCATCCTTCAGATTTTTAATCTTCCCGACAATTTCCCGGCACCCGTTAGAACGAGGTCAGAGGATTTGATGAAAGGCCTAGTTTGTCTAGACGGCGTGCGATCCAGGGTTTGATCCTCGGATCGTGCGCAAGGCAGTCAACGCCACTTGACATTACACCACTACGGCTCCTTGATGTGGTGAAAATAGATACAATTCGTAGGTCTCCTGGCCCTGGAACTCAATGCGAACCATGTCTTTGTGATTACCACCACGATTGCGAGTCAATAAGTGATTAAAAAAGCGTTTTTCATCGCAGAGTAGAATGATTGTTTGATCGACCTTTACTTGTTTTTTATTTTTGACTAAATATGTATAATACCTTAGAGATCAGTCTGCCTAATTCCTAAGTCTCAACAACTGTTTTTAGGCGATGTGTGTTGAGAATGACGAGATTCGATTGCCTGATGCAAAAGGAGAAGACAGTTGGAAAGTCTACTTTGATGATGTTGGCCAGGAGATCGTTGAAGAATTTGCTATGCGTTACGGTATTGAGAGTATTTATCAGGTGAATTGAAATTTTCTTTATTCATTGCGCTCTTGAATATTGGTTTTGTTTTTTTCCTGTCGCTCCTGGATATTTGCTCCTTCGAAGTTTGTGATCAGAGCGAATCTTGCTACCAAATCGCTCCAATCTCTAAAAAAGCCCACCCAATTAGGAGATTGCAAGTGGAAATGTATCCGATTGTACTTTCTCATTCAATGAATTCAGTTGCTTCTTTTGAGTTGAAGTTCTTAGTTGGTCCAGTTTTGGTCCTATTCTTGCGTGGTTCTATTTTAGCTTATTTATTTTTGTTTATTTTTCATTTAAGGTTGGAGCTTGATTTTAAGGAAAGTTTTTCACATAGCGTTTTACAGGCAATGACACATTTTGCCTGCCTTTGTACGAGATACATGTGTGTTGGAGTGCCTGCAGTGCTTTCTACGTTGCTTGCCAATATAAATGCGTGAGTTGTTTTTTTGTTTTGTAAATATTTATCATCATGTCCTCATTTGACGCCACTATTCCTGGCTAAACGCGATCGCTAAGACTTGCACGATTGGCTTAGTTGACCCTTGGCATAGACTCTAAGGTTTATTGAGATCCTTTATGCCTCTCTATCAGGATAGTTAGTATTTTGTGCAGAGCGACACAACTCACTCTTTTCCTTTCACCCTTTTCTTCCCTTTGAATCACGACGGCGTGGATTTCGAGCAGCTCCTCCAGCTCTGTGCCTGCGCGACCTGCGACTGGAAGCATGCTTTCGTGATCGTCGGCTTTTTCTCGAGGACCTTCTGCGGGATCGGCTACGGCTTCTTCCAGATCGTGAGCGCGATCTCCTCAATCTTCTTCTACGTCTTCTGGAGCCACTCGCTGATCTCGAGCGGCGAGACCTCGATCGGCTGTGGGATCTTCTCGAGTGTTGCGATCCGGGACGTCGTCGTCTGCTGTGGCCACGGGAGCTCGACTTTCTACGACGACGACCTCCTCGTCGAGCCTTGCCTCCCTTAAGTCTCTCAGCAGTAGCGTCTTCAGCGACGGGTTCGAGTTGTTGAGCTTCCTTAAGTTCTAGTGAACTCCTTGAGTTGGGGTTGAGGCCCATTCCACATCTTTTCATCTATTATATGTTGTAATTTATAGGATCTGTAAGAGCGCGCCTGCTCAAATAATTGTATAAATAATTACGCATCCAAACGCCGCCACGAATTAGAATGAAAGTCGAATGCGTGGCGCGTCAAAAGTAATTGATTGAACAGCTCTCACTGTTACAGCTTTTATGCGCACACTACGGCTACTTCGGCTGTGTCGGCGTCGGACAGATTTGCCGCGTCGAATTTCGGCAAGGAGCGTTTCGTGAAGCTTTTGGACCAGCTTCATAATAGTCTTCGGATAGATCTTAGTATGTATAGGGTGAGTTCTGCTATGTATGGAATGTTCAGTTTTCTTTTATTACAAAACCCACGGCACATTACTGCATATTATATTTTTATTTGAGCAGTCTGATGGAAAGAAAATCAATATTCTATAATTTTTTACACGCCCATGTATGGGCTGGTTCCTATGCCCAATGGAAACATGTTATAAATGTATTGAATAGATAGTGATCTAAGTGTCTCTGGTAATCAGGAGCCGAAGGTCGAGTAGCATTTAGCTAGGTTTTATGATTTTTTGAGGAAATTTACAAGATTATTTAGGAAATTTTTGTGATATTTTGAGTTCTCATGAAGGTTGCGAACTTCGCGAGAACCCGCTCCTCTTCCTTCTTATATAATTTCAAGATAGATTCAGTTTTTTCAAAGGTACATTGGAGGAGATATGGGAGTAGTAGCTGGGGATCAAGACAACAAAATATTGAGACTTCTGAGCGGCTGTGTTGGCCAAATTTCGTCGACGCTGCTCTCCCTGGGTTATATCTACCACGAACCCACGATATAGGGTCCCGTTTCTGCTTCCAGGCCGCTTTTAGGACACATTGGATCTTGCAATATTCTCAGGCCATCACCAGTGAATCAGCTTGGTGTAGTAGTAAACAGGGAAGGCGTCCTCAGTTTAACTTAGCCTTTTAACGCCATACCCCTTTTGGTGACGACTTGCTAACCAGTGCTGCGGGGATACGGTGAGCTTAGTACAGATCGCGGCCCAGTGCGGTTTCCTAGAGCTTGATGATAACATACTGTTCTGTTCAGTGCAGTACAGTAAATGATCATCAAGCTCAGCAAGCCACAAATACTCGCAATCTTGCACTAAAAAGCGCAAAATGATTCCAGGAAGACTTGTGATTTATAAGCCCTTCTAAGTAAATTTCCTGAACTGTTAAACCGTTTTACGCAATGTAAAGCTGTTGTTGCTTAGGTGATAAAAAGATTACACGGGATAATAGGTAAAGCCTTTCATGGACAACAACGTTTGATAACCAAGATGTAAGTTTTTTTCGAATTAGGGCTAATGTGCCGTTCCGTCTAAATCGTTGAATACGACGCCTAATCCCGTATGTCTTAGTTGCCAGGATACGAAATCTTTGGCGTTATACATATATCTCGATTAATTCCTTCGCAGACTTTTCATCCGGAATGTAAAAGAAATCTGTCTAGTGGGCTTGTAAGTAAACGTTCGTTCAGCTTAGTGCTAGGGCGGAGACCTGTTTTGTGGTTTCTTTTCAAATTCCAAATTTGTATCGTGGGTCCAATTTTTACTATCTTGATTCTTGATTATTCTTATATCTGCCTGCTTGCGGTTGACTTCGTTTTTTACTTCTTTTTTTTTGTGGAAAATCGAGTTCCCACCAAACTAATTGTTTTTCGGGATTTCAAGTAACCAAGGTGTCAGATAATGTTACGAAACAATGAAGAAGTTACTAGTGTTGCTCACAATACAATATTTGTTCATTTAACACATTGATGACAACGTGGCGCGGTCGCGCGTCACGTTTCGGCACAAATTAAGACTCTATTTCCCTCTACTTCTCTTGATTTTTCCATGTTTTCCTTATACTTTGTCAGATCCAGAAAACAATATCTCTTTCCCAATAATTAAATTATTGACGGGTAAAGATCCTTAATAAAAAGATGTAAGAAATGATGCTGGGAGACACGCATAACGGCTGTCGTCAATGTGTTGACAGCTGATTTCATTTTATTGGGTTGATGCATAATTATTGCGGATTTTTTTCGCGCCTTCTTTTTTCGAAAAGATTGGCGTTTTGTTTATTATTTTTCATGAAAATATTCTTCTCTCTTTCATTAACAGAAATGCTTATCGAAAATCATCTTCATATTCGCCATATATGCTCTACCACTTCGAGAAAGGTTGGAAGGCGGCAGAGTCATTTCGCGATCTCAACGAACTTTTCGGCGAGGGAACAATTAGCAAAAGCCAAGTTGAAAGATGGTTCAAGAGGTTCAAAACGCCACATTTACCGACCGAAGCTCCTACAGACTACCACTTCAATCAGTCGTTGAAAAACTGGCAAACGAACAAAATTTACGACGAGCTGGATGACTTGGTGGCCGAGTTAGAGCGTGGATCGTCTCCAAGAATCGTGACTTTTCACCCGTGGAATCGACCGACTGCCAAGCAAATGGGAAGCATTCTTGAAGGATGGTGACTACGCTCCGGAATAATCATTTGAACATGTTTTTGTTAAATATTTATCGTTTTCTCTGAATAAAATTTGTTGAAAGAAGCCGCAATAATTATGCATCAACCCAATAGTTATACTCAATTTTTTGTGGTTTGGTGGGCAGTGGTTTATTTAAAGAGGCAACTTACTACTGGGATACTATCATTTTCGATTTTGTTCTTTTTACGAGTACAACTCCATGCTTCTTTTATCATTTTTGTAGTGTTCCAACACTTATTAGCAGTTGTGGTGTCCAATCTGTGTTAGCAGATCCTTTAGGTTTCATTTATCAGCAAATATAAGGCAATATTTTACTGGCGGTAGACCGGAAAGTATGATAAGCGGATGAAGCCAGATTCGAGGAAATGAGAATCGATAAGGCTCGTTTTTTGTCAACATGGCGGCGGGATACTTCTAGACTTCGGAAAACTCTTTCCACAGGACGGCGTCGATCTGTTTTCGGAAGGAGAAGGCTCACTGTAACGTCTCATTACACTGATGTGAAGCGAAAGGCTCGATGTGGGAGCTGAATGATACAGTAAGAGGCGTTGCTGTCGGCGGCACCGTACGTGGATCGAATCTCACTCCGCCCATCAGGCTCTCATCCCTCTCAAGTCAGCGATTTGGCCGTGTCACATCGGCCGGCGGTTTTCGGTTTTTGAGGTTTCTTGATGTACATCAGATGAATTGTAAGCGTCCATTGATGATAATCCAGTCGACCAGGCTCATCTGACAGCATCTACTTAGAAACCTAATCTGTGCACAATTGCGGAGTGAAAGTCGCTATTACACGGCTCTATTCCTTGATTGCAAAGTCTTAGAGCTCTTTGAAAGCTTTTCGAGATTAATCTGCGTTGGCGAGCTGTCTTAGCGATTGTGCAGTCGAATAGTTATTGCGAACATTCCACTTTATATTTGTTTCGATAATGAATCTATCATTTTCTACTAAATTTGATGTCATTGAGAAGAAAAAAATCACGTTTTTGCCTCTGATTCCTTTTCTGGGATTCGCCAAGTATTCACCGCGTCGCTGTTTCAAATCTTAGCTGGGCGCTTCCTGAAACACAGGTTATCTCAACTTCGAGCACAAAAGTTTCTTTCAAAATTTAGCATGTTTTTCAGAAATGCATGTCCTTATTCTATTTTAACATTCGCGACCGCCAGGATTGCGCAAATTAAGCAGTACAGTTAAAGACTTTTGTTCAGCAAAATTTGAAAGTGGACGGAGATTTCCTGCAGGGCTGGCTGTGAAATGAGCGAAGTAAGAAAGGATCTTTTCATGTATAAAATGTTTCCCGAATTTATTTGAATCCGGCATCCAAGGTGAGATGCCATTGCCCGTGGAGCACTTCTTTGGCACCCACCCGTGAGTAAAACCAGAGAAAAGCTCTCGTCCATCCGAATAGTTGCAACTTTTCCCTTCCCTCTGCCCCCAACATTTTCGGCTCGCGACACGAAACCTCATTGGCACATTACCCTCACTCCCTCAATGCCGAAAGCATTGCTTAAGCTCTCTGCCATCGGAAAATGAGCGTTCTGGAAGCGATCGAATCCTATTGAGCGCATATCCACACCAATGAACTTTAAGCATTTCGTTCTTTCATAAAAGCACTGAATCATGTAAAGTGTCATTACCTGGGAGAGAGGTCCAGCAACTGGAGGCGAAGCGGAGCTTTGGCGTAGACCATTTATTTGAGTCCTGACGGGGCCATCAGTAAGATGTGTGGCTGAGCGTCATCATGAAGAGGGTTGATTTGCTTTTGTCGGTTGACGAACTTGATGTTTCTCGAGCAGTTCGTTCGGTACTCTAGATAGGCTTTGGTGTTATGTCAACACGTTGGCGACAGGCCCCTGACGCGCAGGCGCGTCAGAAATTTGGCACCGCACCGGACATTCTGACGCGCATGCGCGTCATACATTTTTATTGTGCTTGTGCTCCTTCTTCTCGAGTTTTTTGCATTCATTCTAGATATAGATTACATTAGCATAACTATAAACCACATGGCAGCCAGAGTGGTCAAATATCCCTTGATTTAGCAAAGATTTTCTGAACGCACAAAACTTTCATTTCAATTCTTTCCTAGTATTCCTTTCACTGTCGTAAACATTCATATGAAAGATTGTAGAAGCAGTTAATACAAAACTCTGTGAGTTTCAAGATATTTGTATTTGATGGAAGAACTTAGGTATAAATGCTTTTAACTTCATTCGCAGAAAGTGATGTTTTTTGCTTCTTCGTGGTCATTATGTCTTCTAAACAAAAAATCTACTGCTATTATATAGTTAACCTTTATGCTTTCACCTGATTGGTCCCCCGTCAACCGCCGGGACGTTGCTTCCCTGCCTAAGCTTCACGTCTTCCGCTGTGGTCCTTCCACGTGTGTATAGTAGATAATAGAATGAGATAGAAGCTGTTGTTCTCCTTCCCTGCATCCTCTCCCCCCCCCCCCCTCCTCTACCCTCCCCTCTTGCTCCTCCGGCTGCCACGGCAGCACCATATCCTCCCTCCCTTTCTCCTCTCCCTCCTTCCCTCCCTCTTTCTCCCTCTCCCCCTCCCCCTCTCCCCCTTCCTGCCCTCCCCTTTCCTGCCCCCTCCCTTCTCCCCCCCCTCCAGCTGCCACGGCAGCACCATGTAGAATGAGACTGAGTGTGCTCGATCGGTGTTTATATAGCCGCTGTGGGTGTTATCATGATCATGACATCAACATCACGAAGTGTTGCCCTTCGTACTCCCTGGTTTTGTGAGCGGTCGGTCCGGACGGACAGAACGACACACACACACACCGACAAACCGACACACCAAAGTTCTGGTTTATATAATGAAGTGTGCCGAGATAATTCTATGGGATTCAAGTTGTTGTGCATTTTGAACAAAAATAAGCGGAAGTAAGGTGAGGACGGCGCGCTCGCAAAATCGCTCCTGTCCCACGCGGTGCAAAAATGCCAAAACACGCGATGTCGTCAACGTGTTAAATTCACCTGGTTTCCAAGAAATGTGGTGTTTAGGTGGGCAAATGGTGATGCTTCCGGGTGGATTAATTAGGGTGAGATCAGAACTATTCACATAATGTGGTTTGTAGAACCATGACCTAACAACGAAAGGATAAAGGAGAGAGCTTCCAGCGTTAGTCAGTCCTTTTTTGGATGCAGCACGCTCCTTACTTCCATTGGGAACCGTTGTGGCAGCTTTCGTGCGGTTCCCATGCAATGACTTGCGGAAACCAGCTAATGTACAGGTCGGTGTTTTCGCCCTCCCAGAAAGATATAGTAGAACCAGTTAGATAACTTTGATGGAAGTATGGACCTGAACGGTGTGTGAACCAGGATTTGATCCACGAACTCTGCATGCGTAAGCAGTGACTCACGCTATTGAATGATCCGCATCTTCTTAATCTCCACGCACGTAATGGGTCCAGTCATAGGAATGGAGGCTTAAATGAGATATGCCATAGATCGGAATTGCCGGTTTTTGAGATGAAAGCTGAAAATAGGAATTAGAACGCATCGTTGCGCCACGCCCAAATGAGGCGATCCTATGAGTATCCTTTCTCAGTAGCGATGTGACGCGTGCGGTATCTTACGCAGCTTAGATTGGTTCTATGTTAGCACATTTAGTGTACATAAGGTGTACGTCTTGGGAAAACTTAGAACTTAAGAGTTCGCTAACCTTTCGGCTTATCTGCAAAACTCCCTAAACTTTTTGAAAATAACTCACAGGGTCAACTGAGCCTGCACAAAGTGGGATAACGTTGGCTAAGATCTGCTAGTGAAAGCGTTCTGTAATGATTCCACCATAAAAAGGTGCGTTAGGGCGAGAGAGCGTGAAGGGCAAGGGGAGGCGTGGCGTGTACGTGATTTTGGGGTGGAGGGGGGTTCGTAGTTGATCTGATTGACACGCACTGGAACGGCATAGTCCTTCGAAGGTATGGTTCGGAAGGCACTGTAATAAAGTTTCGATGAGGAAGGATTTTTTCATCAAAAAAATTAAAGAAAGCTAGAAAAATTATTTTTGTCGTTCCTGCCATTCTAACTATTGCTTTTCCGCCGTCCCGCACGCCAGGCTCACTGTGGAGATGCCCATTTTATTTTTTGGGGGTGGTTTATTCGTACAACACTACAGCAACACTTTATCAGTATCACAAGACAGCAGAGGAGGGTTGTGCAGAGAACATCACAGCGAAGGGGGGCCTTATTTGGAATTCGGTAAACGGTCACGGTTGACCTTGCTTCTGTGTGATATGCATGCAGAAGCCGTTAGGGTGGGAATACTCTCTCAAAGTCATGCGTATAATGATAGGAGAAGGGCCTTATAAGCTCACCATCGATTCTATTCGCCAACTAGCATTACATCATTTCACTTGGACTCTGAAGCCAACAGTCAGAAGTAGCCTGGTCTGATCTTCTTTACAGTGAATTCTCGGTCAGATTTGCGAATTTTTTTCACAAACTTGCTTGGCTTATCCTACTTAGGATTAACTTGCGTCGTAGAATCATAGGTCGCTTCAGTTCTTTATAGTCCTTCTTTTCGTTAGTCTTTACTCGTAGACCATCCCTTGCTTTCCTGCACTCGTCCTTGTGGTGTCAGGTTCCTGATTTATTCAATAGCAGCGGCGAGAAGCATTGTCAGAATTGTCCCCTTTTTCTGTGACATAGACCGTCTGAATATTGCAAACGGAAAAAGCCCTGCTCTCGGCTCTACTGATAGTTTGGCAACCGTTGGGATTCTCACAAGGGAGTTAGCAGTAAGTCAACAATTTCTATATCCCAGGTCAATGGCGGGATGAGCCATGACTTCGCCTCAGGAGCTTAATAGTATGGACAGGTCTTGACTTGAGGAAAGATCTCTGCGGTGCCAGGGCCGGCCGCTGTTTCAGAACTCAAATCTTCCGTCCCTGTCGGGAATGAATTATTTGCAACCCAATCACGTTGACCTCGTTCGTTGATCGTTGACTGAGAGGCGCTGACTGTATTCGGAGATTCTCATGCGTAGAAACTAACGAAGCATCAATTTTTTCACCTCCATTGAGCGTAGATCGATCTGCCTTGGATGTTGGAAACTACTTGGTGTTCCGCTCGGTCCGACGAGTTCATTGGACAAGTTAGATTCGTGATCAAAAAGAGCTCCATTCGCGGAGTTTATGTGAGAATGCGTGGCGCAACTCAAAATGATCGATCAAAACGCATAATTTTTCCTGTATCTTTTCCCTGATCGGATTGTGTTACATTCTGAAAAAGACTATTCACAAAAACTAATTTATACTTTGATTGATCCTCACAACTCGTTGTATAGGCCATATAGGTGATCAACAATATTTGCGTTCGTAAACTGATGGCAGGATACGTGGCTTATCCCAACATGATCGATCAACCTTAACGAATTTTCCTTTTATTTTTTTATTGATAATACCCATGAAAGCAGAGTGAATTTTTGATAAAAATTATATTATATTATACTTACTTTATTTATATACTATTATATATTACTGAGTTTGTGATAAATTCGGTACTATCTAGTAATATATAATCGCTAATAATGGACATTTCGTGCATGTGATAATACTGAGCCTCCTCATTGTCCGCTTTTACAGAAGTACTTCCCTGCCTCTTCACCGGCGAAGCTTCAAGATTTGAAGTCAACTGTTGATCTACTCACTTCAATCACATTTTTTCGTATGAAGGTATCGAATTTAAGCTAATTTAATATTTATGTGCCGCTAACTTATCGATCAGCTGTCCAGGTGCTCGAGCTGGCCAGCCCACCGCGAGCATCGAATGTCGTCTCGGAATGTGCGAAGGCTTGCATGCAGGTGAATATTTCTGCAAATGCCTTTTTCAAATTGAACTATTTTTATCCTTTGCTACTATGTTCTTTTTTATGAATGATTTCTGTGTGAATTGTCTCGCTGGATTGTATTATTCCGGGTACATCGTGACGATTTGATGCTGCTCAATCGGCTTCAGTTATATAAGCGCATAAGTGCATAGGTGTCCTAATGTTTGACATGACGGATCTTAAAGGTTGTGATCACGCTAACTGGAGGGCGGTGCGGCTATAATGACTCCATTGAACATCATTGGTGTGAGAGCGTTAGGAGGCAATCCCATTCGAACCCGCAGCTCGTTGAGGGTTTGATTCGGACCGCCTCCTAACGCCCTTCCACCAGTGATGTTCAGCGTTCATGTCTAGTCCACCAATAACGTTCTATGACGTCATGCAGCT